CAGAGATGGGTGTTCCACTGCTGTTAGAGAAGCTGTATTTGGAGAAGTCTTTAAAGGACTTTTTCATACTTGATTTCAGTCCAAAGATTGCAGGTATTCGAATTCAGCAAAATAGCCCAATATAGTCCAATAGTCCATAATAGTAGTGAGTTATCAGTACAACTGGGAATTGTCCAAAGTTTTTGACTTGAGCCTTTTACAGTTCAGCATTATTAATACAGCTTTATTTTTTATGCCTTGTGGTTATAACTTTCTGCTGGATGGTTAAGACCAAGTTAAAGCAAGACCTATATAAGTAAAAAAGTAACTTTCGCTATCTTACAGGGTCAGTCAAATCCCCTCAGGATTTACCTTGGAACCATGTACACACCTTGTGGATCTTTTGTCAGTGTCAGTCATCTGGATGAGTCATGGCCATTGCTTGACCATTTTTCTCTCTGTAAATGCCTACTCCAATTTTCTTCAGGTTTTTTAAAATCATGAATTGGTGTTCAACATTATTAAATGATTTTTCTGAATTTATTGAGATGGTCCTGTTTTTGTCTTTGGCTCTGTTAATATAGTGTATTACATATACTGATTTGCGTATGTTGATAAATATATATTCTGATGTTGTGAGGTGGAACACTTTGTAGACATCTATTAAATCCATTTGCTCAAAAGTTCAGTTCAGTTCTGACATTTCATTGTTGACTTTTTGTTTAATTAATATGTGTATTTGTGACAGTGAGGTATTAAGTTTCCCAATTACCATTACATTAATGCTTATTTGCTTTTTCATTCCTGTTAATATTTATATTATATATTTGATTGCTTTAGTATTCTGTGCATATGTATTGATAATTGTTAGGTTTTGCTGTTGGATTGTTCCCTTTACTTTTTATTTTTTATGTTTTGTATTTAGTACAGAGTCTACAGGGAATCACTACATAGATCAGACTCATGGTGGTCCATCTGTTTACAGCCTCCCAAGAGCTGGGATTATAGGTGCTCGCCACCACGCCCAATCTCAATTGCCACCTCAGCAAGCCCTGGGGGTGGGGCCAGCACTGCAGGCCTGGGGATTGAACCCTCAGCCCCTACACATCCTTTTCTTTTTATCCTATGAATTTTTTTCAATTAAATATATTTCTTGTATGAAGTATATTGTTGAATCTTTCTTCTTAAGCCATTCTGTCATTTTGCTTCTTTTGACTGGTGAATTGAAACCACTGTCATTGGTGGTTATAACTGATATGTATTGATTTATCCTTTCATGTTATTTTCCTGTTGTTGGTTCATTTTTCTCACTCTGTTTAATTACTTGCCTTGCTTGGTGCATTCATCCTATGGGGTTCATTGAGTTGAAGTCTTTGTAGAATGTCCTTCAGGACATTGTAGGGTGCTAGTTTTCTGGTCATTCATATCTTCATGTAGTCTTTGTCATGAAAGTATTTTCTCTCTCTGCAATTTTGATAGATAGTTTTGTGAGGTATATCAGTTTGGGATGGAGATTATTTTCTCTTGTATCATGCAATACTTTACTCCAAGTCTACTGCCTAGACTTGAGTGTTTGTGTCAAGAAGCCACTGTGATTCTAGTGGGCTTTCCCTTATAGGCAATTTGTTTCTCTTCTCTAATAGCTTTTCATATTCTTTTCTCATGTTGAATTTCTGGAATCCTGACTATTGTATCTCTTTCTATAATTTTTATGTTTAAATGATGGCTAACTTGAGTCCTATATGCCTCACTTATATGTATATCTAATTCTTTTTTCCAGCTTGGTACATTTTTGGCTAGTACCGCCATGAACAGGATTTTTATGTTGTTCGAACTGTCTCCTGCTTCTTAATTGCCTCAAATCAGTCTTATGTTAGTGTCCTAGCATCATCTAGCAGTTGCTGCATTGATGTTTCATGGTTCTTTGCTGTTTTTAAGACATCTTTCTACTCATGGTCACTAACCACAATCTTGTCTGTTAGAACTGTCCTCTTGTTGGATTATTCTGCTGAGTATAATTTCAATAGAGTCCTTAATTTCCTGGGTATCTGTTTAAAACTGTTTCATGGATTCCTTTATTTTCCTATGATAGACATTTATGGTTTCCTTCATTTTCCTAACCTCTTCTTTTTTTATATCTGTATATTCCATGGAGTAACTAAGCATGTTTTTTTCATTATGGTCACCATTTCTATAGTTATCAGAGAAATTATTTCTGAAGGTTGATTTTTGGAGGGAAGATCCTACTATGTATACTAGGCTGGCTGCAAACTCACAGTGATCCTCTGTCTCTACCTTGCAGTTGATTTTTTCTAGAGCTTCATTCACCTCATTTGTTAGTTCTGCTTTTCCATCTCAAAGTCCAGGTGGGTGACTTTCAAATTGTTCTACCTCCTTGTTCACTGACAAGCTGGAAGGGTGGGGTTTCATTTTGCTTCCATGTCTTCTCCTTTTCTATTTTTAGTTAAATTGCTGTATCAAGGCTTGCAAATTACTCATGGCACACAACTTTATTGCTAGTTTTGAGCACCCTTAGGAAATGACACCTTCTCTGAGATGTTTTCCAGGTATAGCTGACTTTTGGTTTTGAGTCTATTGGAAACTCCTACCTCTTCAATTGATTTGGGATGAGAATTTTCTGCCTACTTTTCCCAGCCCCTGGTTCTGTGGTTTAGTTTATGGTTTTATTTAATTACTTTTGGTAGTTAGTACAGGGTCTACAGGGTCTACAGGGTCTCACTACATAGATTGGACTTGTAGTGATCCTCCTGTTTTCAGCCTCCCAAGTGCTGGAATTACAGGCTTGTGCCAGCACACCCAGTCTCCATTGCCATTTCAGTGTGCCCTGGGGGCTGGGTTGGCATGGCACACCAAGGATGGAACCCCGGTCTCTGTGCCCTGCCTAAGCAGGCAATTGAGTCCACTGAGCTATCTGGCCAGCACTATGGCATTATTTATGACTCTTAGGCTATCTAAGACTTGGCATACCATGAAGAGGAACTGATTAGAACAATTATGCCACTTTGGCTAAATTAGTAATAGCAATAGCATCAAACACAGCTTAGAAAATGACAAACTTTGATACTAATTTGCCACCTTTAGCCATATGAACTAGGTTTGTGGTTATATAACAAAATCTAAAACAAACCAGAAAATTGTATATAGTAAATATGACCTCAATATGATGTTTTTGCACTCATATGAAAAATTTAGAAGTGGGTAGGAGAAAAATAGAACAAAAAAAACAGAAAATGATTAGAAGCAAGGCTGGAGGACAAATGCAGATTATACTAAGTTTAAGAAACTGATGAAGACAGTAGGAAAAGAGAGAAGAAATAAAAATGAGAACAGAGCAAACCAACAACAAAACTCAAAACAATGTTTGCACTTACAGAAAGACTAGAATAATCAAGAAACAAAAATCAAAGTAAAAAAGGAACAAAAGAAAAAAAGTCTACTTGAAGGTGTGTCCCTACTGTCACTGTTATACAGAGTGGGCTGGAGGAGTCCAGATTTATGTTGGTCAATCCCAGTATGCCAGCAGGAGATTCTCACCAGATTGGTGGATAATTCCAACAGGCCTGTACCTTTAGGTCCCCTGGAGTTCAGGCTGGTTTCTGAATGAAAGAATAGAATTCAGGTTGTTTAATCTAAAACACTCCATGTGCCTCTTGCTGGGTTGGACACCCTTACAGCTTGAACTGGGCTTGTTGACCTCCTACCAACTTGAACTCAGTTCTGCCTCACCCTGACCCTGGAGGCCACTAGATGGAGCCAATCTGCAGGTGCTCTGAGTTCTCAGTTCAGTTGACCTCTTTCTAACATGGCTATTAGCCAATTGCCTTCACCTGGTGGACACCTGAACCTAGATAACTCATCCGCCACTGCATTCCACTGCATCCACTGCTCTGTTCCAGTGGGACTGCATTTTCTGTGTCCACTATTCTATCTCTGTGTGGTTGCTCTGGGATCACCAGCAGTTCCTGTGTCCTTAGGTTTGAGCTGCTCCACTTGTATAGCAATCTAGGACTTAGGGAGAAAGTGCTGCCTGCCACCTCTTTCTTCTGCATTGAGGTCCTTTCTTTGTTCTTCCCATGGGCTTTAATTCTCACTTCAGAGCCTTGTTGGACCATGGGAACCCACTTGACCTCCTCCTCTTCTTTATGTTGATATTCTAACCACTGACTGCCAAATCTCAGAAAGGCTGCTTCTCTGCTGTTTCCCACTATGCTGTCTTCCTGGAAGTCAAAGTCAATGTTTTTTGTTTTAAAACACATTTGGACTTGGTATACTTCGTTTTCCTCTTTGGCCCCATAATCTCCTTGATCAGAAAATTTGGGACACTACCGATTTGCATGACATTACAGTACAAGTTCTCATATGTCCTGAGTCTTTTTTTATACTTAAAATATTTGACTTTAATTATAAATTATATGTTATTTTGAGTATCTTAAGGGTAGATTTATGGCAATGTTTTTTTTTTACTGTAACAAACTAGAAAAGCTTTAAAATATTTATTGTATTTTTTGAACATGCTTAATAGACAGCCATTTTCTTACGAGGTCCTCATAGGACTAGAGTTGGTGGGAGAACATATCCTATTACTAGACAATATTCTCAGGACCTTATCTAAATTTAATCATTCACCCCAGTGGTTCACTTCAAAATACCTTTCCACTGGAAGACAGGGTTCCATGTATATATTTCAAGCACACACAAAGGTGTAGTCCATAATAGAACCTTGAGAGAAATAGTAGGTTTTCTTGAAACTAAAAGAAAATAGGCATTCTCCAAGTTCCACCATAGGTGCCTATGGGAATAAGCTAAAGATAAAAGATAAATGTAATTCAAGTGAACTTCAAACACATTTTGAATGCTGGTTTTGCTAGACTTGCCGTATCTTTCTTCACACCCTCAGGGCTTGGGGTGTTGTATTGTACTTTGCAGCTGAGAGTTCATGGTGTTATCAACAGTGTTCTCATGCACATCTTGCAATCAAAAGTCATACACTTTCTTAATAAATATATACAATTTATTCTAAATAAAACAGAAAGCAAAATAATTTCCTTAATTACTAAATGACATAAATCAATGAAAAGATGTCGCTTTCCTCTGTTCAGTTATCTTGCCAGATGTCTTAGTTTTGGGAGTATGGTTGCCCCCATATATGAAGGTTGTGCATCCACAGATGCAACTGAGGACCGAAAAAAGCTAAAAAGCATTGTGTCTGTACTAAACATGCACAGCTTTTTTTCTTGTAATTATTCTCTACACAACACAGGGTTAAGCTATGTACATTGTATTAGTCACCATTGTAAGTGATCTTATATTGATTTCAATAATCTCAGAGATGATGGGAAACTATAGCATTCACGTGGAGCCGGCTGTTTTTATCATTGAAAGCTCTGAAAGTTTCACCATCATAGATGTAGGTTATATACAAATATCTGTCATTTGATATAAGAGACTTGAGATCTTTGTGTTGTGTATGTGTGTAGGGGTAGGCATATTGGGTATGTACTAGCATCAATGTCTTCTGTACACTGAAAGATGATTATGTTTTCTCAAAACTCAACTTTCACTGCTCAGTTTATAAATGAAACAACATTTTTTTTTGTTTTTGTATCTTGAGTAGTATTTTTTCCTCCTGGGTCTGCCTTTGCCTTTCTTTGGACCAAAAAAGATGGTGCTTAAGACTCAGGGAGATTAAATTTGAGAGTGACAGCTTCTCAGGCACACCAATCCATCACGTTGGAGAACCCAATTACCTTAGTGATCATTGACTAACTACAGTAAGAGAATTTCCAAAATGTTATCTTTCAAGCCAAGGCCAAAGTCCAAATAAAGCTACCAGCTAACCACAGCACCCCACCATTTCATCCTCCATTTGCAAAGCAATTCTTTAAAAGTCAGCCACTCTGTTTCACTTGTTTTTAACAGGAGGACCAATACCAGGGCACAGTCACTCTTCTCCTTATAAGGCTCCAGTGCTGACACTGGTTGCTGCATGTTCCTGTGGTTACACGGACTGTTTCAGCCACAGTTTCATGGAAGACAGCTTCAATGAAGTGACCATTCAGGGTGAGATAATAGGATTTATCTGTGTCATTTCATTCTAATAAAATGAATCCAGCCAGAGAAGAGAATGTGAGTTTTCCCCACAGCACATGCATAGCTATGGCTAGGAAAGGGGGTATTATGAGAGCATGTACCACTTGTTGTGGACGTTAAGTGATGTGGGATAGTTAAAGCATATAAGACACTGAGTGCTCCCTAGTGACTGAGACACATCTTGTCACTATTATTATTATATGGAGGCACAAAACAAAGGAGAATGATTTTCCTCTGGAGGGAATGTTTCATTGAATAAGACATTTGACCTGGGTTATAAAGCATGAATAAAGGTTTTTAGAAAAGGCCGGGGCAGGAGGAAGATTCCTGGGAAACAGAGAAGCATATTCAAAGGCCCAGCAGTATAATATGACTGATGATGTCTGTGTGTAGAATGTAGATAGAAGAGAGACTGAACATGAAGCTGAGGTACAGGCTTAGGCACTGGGCCTCGTACACCGTATAAAGAAGTGTGGACCTTAATAAACCTGCACAGAGAGGGAAGCAATGAATTTATTGAAAGTGGAATCACTGGATCCAATTCGTTTCTGAAAGCTCACTGCAGAACCGCCATAAGCAACATGTATTGGAATAGAAGAAAACTGCAACATCCTCCATTGCTTTCTGGACACCAGAAATAAAAATATTCATAGGAAATTCTCATACCTTTTAAGGGTCTGGAAACTTTTGGGGAAGCTGAAATACAGGCACTTACATAATACCATCCAATGAGTATTACCTCAAAATGTGATCACAGCATCACAGGAACACTGGGAAAGACAAGTAACTATGCTAGGAAGGTGGGAGCAGGTGTGGGTGCCAGGGACATCCCCAGGGAAGGTGACATCTTAACTGCACAGTTGCTGCCTATGTTCATGGGCCAGTACCCATCCAAAGCATTTGAGACTGTGTGATGAGAGAACACGTAGAAAGAAAAATTGAAGACTGAATGGCACATACTACCATTGGCCTTTATTCAAGAAGGAAGTAGGGAGTTACCCAAGATTTCTAAAACATGAGAAAAACATTAGTCTTGGGGAAAGTTTTGGACTTTAGAAACTAAAAGGCATAGATTCATGTATAACCGTTTGCAAACTGTATGACTTAGATAAGTCTCCAAATCTTCCAAAGTCTCAGTTTACAGCTGATAAAAGAACCTACTTATCTTGTCAAAATTAGTGAAAATTAAGTGAATACATGCATGGAGTACTTGGTGGAATGTAGTTCCTGGGAAGTAATGTGGAATAAAGAATTCTGATTTTTTTTATCCATATCTTTACTTTTAAGTATAGTTATTTCAGGTATTTAGTAGCACCTGCTTCACTACTTCAAAGTAGCAGCACTAATTAAGAGGTTATGAGAAACCACGCAAAGTTCACAGAGTGAGGGCAGAGGCAGAATTTCAGAAGAGGCAAATTGGGTTACTGAGACACATTTTGGTGATAGAGGAAACGGAAAAGTGAAGGTAATGTCAAAGTGGATTCAAATTTTTTTTTAATTGGGTGATTAATCAAATGACCAAGCTAGCATTTGAGAAACAAAACAGGAGAAACTGAAACATGAATTAGATTTTGAAACACAAGATGGATGAAGACAGTTAGATGGATGGATGGAGGGACCAAGGAAGGTCCAGGGACAGAGGATGATACAGATTGTTGTGGCTCATGTCTAGATGGACCCTCAAATCGTCATGAGGTCATAGGTGGGGATTCTTCAGTGGTGGTTGGATATAGGGTGTGTGATGCTGAGATTAAGGGTGTCTGATTGCTAAACTAGTCCACTGATTGATTTGCATATCTCTGAGTGTGGGTGATGGCAAAACCCACTCTGGATATGAGTGCTACCTGCTTTATGGATGTGTAGCCTTTGTATAATATAAGGGACAAAAAGAGGGTTTTTGCTTGCTGCTTTGCAGCTTTCTGCCTGCCATGAATTATTTCTCTTTTACGACGCCCCTATGCCATGCTACCTGGTTCTGGAGCCAGCCAATTATGGGCCAAAACCTCTATAAACAATGAGATAAATAAACCTTTTCTACTTTAACTTTGGGTGTTGGGTATTTTGTCTCAGCAAAGAGAAAAAGATGACTGAGACAGGCCTAGAGAGGAAAAGAGATCTTGGCTGGAAGTATATATTTTGAAATGACTTAAAAATGGATCACAGGGTTTGGCTGTAAAGCTAGTGAGTATTTTAGGTTTTAGGGCCAGATAAACTTTGTTGCAGCTCTGTGACTCTGGCAGGGCAGTCATGGACAAAAACCTAGAAGAATGGATTTGGCCATGTTCCAGTAACAGTTTCCTTATGAAAATAAGCTGGTGGGGAGATGAGTCCATGGATTGTACTATGTGGTCAACCTTTGCAGTGGTGAAGCTGTAGGAGAGGGTGAGCCTGCATAAGGATGCAGAGTATAACAGCTGGAGGAGGAAGCCCCTGCGGCAAGGCAAGGCCGGTGTCCGAGTGGTGAGCAGAGGGGCTAGGAGCTGGGTGCGAGCTGTCTCAGTTTTGGAGCTTTGTATTTTCCTGATAGCATTAGGAGAAGATGCCGGCATTAAGTCCTTATCACTCTGTTTCTTTAATTGTAAAGGAAGGCCCGTCAAGAGGCAGTAAAGAAAGGATTGACCATGCTAGCACTTTATTGATGTTACCAGCATGCACACTTCATGAGATTTACCAAATTTCGCATGTTCTGGTCAAACTTTGTTGCTGTTTCCCCTCATCTCTTGGTCTTATGCCTCTTATTTCTTTCTCCTCCTTCCCTTTCTGAAGTTGTTCCTCCTTCTTCCTTGCTCTCCACCCTGAAAAACCTACCACAATACCACGCAGGTAACATGATAATCAGCAGGCCAGCTATTATGAGCCGTACAAACAAATGACAGATCTCAGGGCCCAGGAAAGTAACAAGAGGCTGATCAGTAGTTCTAGTTATCTTTCCTTCATGTTTATTGCAGTCCGCTGCAGTTATTTCT